AGTCGGTTCCAACTCGATGGCACCTGACAACAACTCCACTCTAAAGTTGTTTGTGCATCTGAATATGCGGATGTGGGAAAGGTCTGTGACATTCCAAGGTGGAGTTACTCTCAAGAATTTGCCCTGCCTGACTTCCCAGGACTTCTGTCCTTAAATAGAACACAGGTATGCATCACCGAATGTCCTTTAGGGGAATGTCCAACCACATAGATGTTTGTGGATGGGGCACCCATGTATGAGTACCAGGATGCCAGAATCTTGACTTAAGGTTGGAGCCCCACGTCTGTCCAGCTGTGTACAGTCCACAAGCCTCCTAGTGTGCAGTGATGGAGGCCCAAGTCAACTCCCAACACCAGTCCCCCTTGCCTCCAGTGACTCAGTCTAGTCCCTCATTGTGACTGGTGTGGTCCTTAGGGTACCAAAGAAAAGGTATGTGCCCCAGGTGCTCCAGCTGTGATTTGTATGCCCTTGGCCCACAACCCTAAGTAGGTTCTTATGAGTGAGCTGGCCTTCCCTGCAGCTGGCTTAGGGGAGAAGGCAGAGACAGCTAGGCAGGACCTGAGGTGTCCACAGCAGAAGCTTCTGGACAGGACCTAGCTGAGTGCTCACCTGAGATGTACACAGGGAGAGCTGTGGACATGTACCCTACAGCTGCCTTTGGTGCAGGGCCCCTGGGAGCCCTAGTCCACACCCCATGGACACGTTTGGACAAAGTCCAAATCTTATAATGTTCTATTCAACAGAACATATGGTGGACAGTATGTGGTGCATACCTATATGCCCTTCATCATAAGTTAAACTTTCATGTGTTAAACAAATGAGTGAAGAAAATCAGAGGCTCAGAGAAACAACTAGTCCTAATAGACCACATGTCTGAGGACAGAAGAGCTAGATGGTGCCAAGCTACCACTATTTACTGCTCTGATTGGGATCACAATAGAAAGTCCTGGAGAGAGTGGGAGGAAAAGGTCAGACAAAATTTAAAATCATAAAGACTAGACTTTCTGGTCTAATAGAGACCCCTGCGGTATGGCTCTTGTTGTTGTTGTTAGGTGCCATTGAGTCCTTACCGACTCATAGCAACCCTATGCACAACAGAACGAAACACTGCCTGGTCCTGGGCCATCCTCACAATTGTTGCCACGCTTGACCCCATTGATGCTGGAACTTTGCTTATCCATCTCGCTGGGGGTCTTCCTCTTTTTCTCTGACCCTCCACCTTACCAAACATGATATCCTCCAGTGATTGATCCCTTCTGACAATATGTCCGAAGTATGAGAGATGAAGTTTGGCCATCCTGGCCTCCAAGGAGCACTCTGGCTGCACTTCTTCCAAAACAGATCTTTTGGTTATGCAGCCAATGGTACTTAATGTTCTCCTCCAACACCATAACTCAAATGCATGCATTCTTCTACGGTCTTCCTTATTCACTGTCCAGCTTTCGCATCCATATGAGGTTATTGAAAATACCATGGCTTGGGTCAGGCGCACCTTAGTCCTCAATCTGATACCTTTGCTCTTCAACACTTTAAAAAGGTCTTGTGCAGCAGATTTGCCTAATGCAATACATCCTTTGATTGCTTGACTTCTGCTACCATGAGTGTTGATAGTAGATCCAAGAAGAATGAAGTCCTTGACTTCAATTTTTTCTCTGCTGATAAGAATGTTGTTTATTGGTCCAGTGGTGAGGATTTTTGTTTTCTTTACCTTGAGATGCAATCCATACTGAAGACTGTACTCTTTGATCTTCATCAGTAAGTATTTTAAGTCCTCTTCAATTTCAGCAAGGAAGGTTGTATCATTTGCACATCACAGGTTGTTAATGAGTCTTCCTCCAATCCTGATGCCACGTTTTTCTGCTTATAACTCAGCTTGTCGGATTATTTGCTCAGCATACATGTTGAATAAATATGGTGAAAGAATACAACCCTGTTGCATACCTTTCTTAATTTTAAACCATTCAGTGTTCCCATGTTCTGTTTGAACAACTGCCTCTTGGTCCACATACAGGTTCCTTATGAGCACAATTAAAGTGTTCTGGAATACTCATACTTTGCAAAGTTGTCCATAGCTTGTCATGATCCACACAATTGAAAAACCTTTGCGTAGTCAATAAAACACAGGTGAACATCTTTCTGGTGTGGTTCTTAGACATCCTTCAAACCTGGAACTGAACCCCTGCCTGGAGATTACCTTGCAGCCAAATGGTGGCCTTTCCGGTGAACAGTAACACCTGTGAGGAAGGTATTCCTCAGAACAATCAGCCAAACAAAACTAAAAGGACAGCATTTGCCCACAAACAAAGCACACAGGCGGGAAGGGGCAGGAAAGGAGAGCAAATGAAAAGTGGGAAACCCTGAGAGGAATTGGGAAGATTGCTGTACAACTAATGTCACAAAACAAAATGTGTATAAGTTATTGAATGGGAAACTTACATGCTTTGTAAACTTTCACTCAAAGCACAATAAAATGTTCAAAATGAACATAAGAAACTAAAAAAAAAAAAAAGATCATACAGCCCAGATTATGGCTCTCTTAATTCTGTAAGTCTCTCTTATAATGAATAGATATTGTTTTGTCTGTTTTATAGTAACAGCAATTATATACAATTATATCCTTGTTGTCTAGAACCAAGAAGTGGTGGACTTTGAGAAGTTGGATGACTATGCGAATGCCTTTCAAGGTCATGATGTTGGATTCTGTTGCCTGGGTACCACCAGAAGAAAAGCTGGGGCGGTAAGGAAGGAACACTTTTTTCTTCTTGCTGGCTGCTAACCTCTAAGATTCCTTTCTTGCTACTGTTTTTCTTTGTGTCTGCAGCAGTGCCTAAATGTAAATAAGTGTTGGGTGCTGCCTCAGCCTTAGCTGTAGTTTGAATGTGACTGGAAAGTTTGTTCCTCTTTTCTTCAAAGTACTTGAATTCTGACCTGAATGCTAGAGCCATCATAGGTGTTTATATATAATCTTCTTTCTTGCAAATACTACAGTCTCTGCATCCTCTGAGTAAGACATTACCAGCAGCACCATTTGCCATTGAGTTGTTTCCAACTCATGGTGACCCCAGGTGTGTTGGAGTATAACTGTGCTCTATAGAATTTCAATGGCTGAATTTTCGGAAGTAGATTGCCAGGACTTTCTTCAGAGGCACTGTGGTGCCTTTGGGTGGACTTGAAGCTCCAACCTTTCAATTCACATTTTGCACCACTTAGGGACTTCTTAGGCAACCCTTTGTTGTTGTTGTTGTCGTCAGGTGCCATCGAGTCGGAACCGACTCATAGCGACCCCATGCACAGCAGAACGAAACAATGTCCGATCCTGGGCCAACCTCATTACTGCTGCCACACTTGACGCCATCAGTGATGCCACCTGGCTGATCCATCTCGTTGGGGGTCTTCCTCTTTTTCTCTGACCCTCTATCTTACCCAGCATGACATCCTTCTCCAGCGACTGTTCCCTTCTAACAATATGTCCAAAGTATAAGAGGCAAACCTTTAGAGCTGAGTAAAAGTAATTGGCTTATGCTGTTAACAGTAAGCTCTGTTTTTTTTTTTTTTTTTTTCCTGTGTAAATATTTTAAACTTGAAGTGTTCTCTTACTTGAAAGATTTGCTTCAACCTATTTTCATGCCAAGCTCTAAACTTCTGGGATAGAACATCAGAACATAGAGGCACGATTCAGCCAGCCTCCAGAGATGACTCAGCTTTCATCAGTGATTCAACCCCAGGGATGATTCAGCCTGAAATGACGCAGAAATGGTTTAACACACATTTTCTTTTCTTTTTAATGATGTTCTAAACTGAGTTAGCCCCTATCCAGAAGTCATAGCTTACTACATAGTTAGAAGTCATGGTTTATTACGTAGATCTGGGGAAAGTATTCCTATGTCTTATTTATACCTTCACTACACTTTATCTCTCTGACTGAATTTACTGGCTGCAGTTGAACCTATCTATTAAATATTTAGGACCATGATTCAGCCGCAGGGGCTTACCAGAAGTTTACAAAGCAGACCCAACCCGTGCATCATAATTGTTGGGGGAGCAAATGGTTGAGAACTACTGGTTTATACCAACCACAGAGGCAGGCTAAGATGTATTTCTCTGGACCTCCTTGTCCATTTCTGATAATAAAAAAGAATTCTATTTATGCTTTGAATAGGGATGCATTTCCAAATCCTTTCATTCTGCAAGTCCACCCTGGCATACAGCTGGGCTCTGAGCCCTCTACTGGGAGGTATAGGTTATCAAGAAACTTGACTCCCAGGAATTGATGGGCACATTAATCTCTCCTAGGGAGAGGGTCATTTTTTTGTAGTTTTTTTTTTCTGTCCCAGGGACAGTCACTACAGTATGCCCTCCAAAAGCACAGAAACTTTAGTTCTAGTACACTGCAGGTTTCACTGTCTCAGGTGCCAACCTGATTTTGGTAATGACTCAGCAAAATAAACCTTCTGCATGAGGCAGAGAGCAGTTAGATGGCCTGACAGAAGGCGAATCTCATTACAGAGCATTCCAGGAAGGTGGGGGCGGGGATGGAGTCCAAATGCCTTTGTTTAATTCAAATTGTGTAATGCAATTTAACCAGGGTCTCTTCACAGACCAGAATATGTATGCTTTTCACAATACTTTTACTAATGGGAATGTTCCCCTATCCCTCAGGCTACTCAACACTTAATGTGTCCGCCCTCAAAGTAAATATGAAAAGAATAAAAAGTCAATAATGAGTAAGAGAAAAGACTGGTAAACCAAATATAATCTAATAAATGTAAACCCAACCCATTGCCACTGAGTTAGTTCCAGCTCACGGTGGCTCCCTGTGTTACGGAGTAGAACTGAGCTCCATAGGGTTTTCTTGGCTGTATTCCTTACTGAAGCAGATTTCCAGGCTTTTCTTTTGCAGCACCACTGATTGGGTTCGAACTGCCAACCTTTCGGTTAGTAGGTGAGTGTCAACTGTTTGGCACTTAAGTGATTTAAGAGATCAGTGACAGAGGTACATTGACTTATCCTTCAGGAAATTACTTTTTTCTTTTTTTTTTCTTTAACTTGAAACTAGATCGGGTGCAATAATAAAGTTTGGAAGTTGTGATCACTGCCTGCAATTTAAAAGAGGTGACAATTCATGAGTGAGTAGGTAGCAGTTGTTATATAAAAGGACATCAAGGATTTCCAAGCTCACCCCAGCAGCCCTCTGATGAAAATGGTCCCACGGGTGGTAGGTTCACCTGAGAGGTACTACAAAGCAGGTAGCAAGCCTAGTGCCATTCTGTACCTGCTTTATAATGGAAGCACCCCAAGTTTTGCATTAGCAGCCTGAGTTTCCAGTAAAGAAACTTCAAGGAATTCAGCAATTCCATCTCAGTGCTAGCTTTGAGCAGCTAGCTTACTTACTATATCAAGATTCTGCTGAAACTGGTACGAAGGGGAAGTTTATTTGCTTTCCTCATTCTCTTTAGCAGTAGTTGGTAGGATGCACACCTTTTCACGCTCCCAGGCCACCGTTGTCTGGTCACTGCAATGGTACCTTGACTTGGCCCTTCTCTAGGTCTCTCGGAATCTCTGAGGTTGGAAAGTTGGAATCTGCAGTTTTAGCAGATTCCTTAGGAGATCTTGATGATCCACGCTCAGGAAACACTGGCATGCCCTAGCCCTCCTCACCTGCTGGTTTTCCCGGTTCTTTAGCCCCAGATGGTCATCACCTTGCTTAACTAAGGGACCTGAGTGCATGTGAGGGCTGAAGAACCTTTTGCTAACCAGATATACTTGGTCCCTGAGTGAAAAGCACAAACTCATGGATGCCACTATTTCTATGAAGAGAGGGATTAGGTTAATGAATTTGAATGGTTTGATGTGGTTTCACCTCTGTCACCCTGCCTATTAGGAGTAGGCCCTGCCAGTCCAGGTTCTTGGATTCTATTGAGTGGACAATGCTAATATAATGGATGCAGCCTTTGTAACACTTCTATGCATCATTAGAATCTCGTGACTGATTCTAATGATACACTCTTCTAACCCAGAGGTTTGCAAACTGTGGCCTATGAGCCAAATACTGTCCACTGCCTGTTTTTGATGGCCTACAGGCTGGGAGTGCTGTTTGGTTGGAGTAAAAACCAAAGTCATTGCTGAAGATGGGTCATTTCTGATTCATAGTGACCCTAGAGGACAGAGTAGAATGGCCTCTGGGTCTTCAGGGCTGTAAATCTGTTGGACAACAAGAAGTCTGTATGGAAACATATGACCACATCTTCTGCAGCAGAACAGTTGGTGTGTTGGATCTGCTGGCCTTTCAGTTAACAGGAAAGCACTCAACCACTGCACCATCAGGGCTCCTTGCTATATCGTTGTTGTTGTTAAGTGCCATCTAGTCAGTTCATAGTGACCCTGTATAGGGTTTCGAAGGAGCGGTTGGTGAACTTGAACCGCCAACCTTGTGATTCAAACTGACTTTGCAGTCTAGCACATTAACCCGCAGCACCACACCAGGACTCCTGCCATATGGTTAGGGAAATTTAATATTTTTTTTTTTTTTTAAGGAAATTGTGTTTCTTGACTATGGGGTAGTTTGTTTCTTGGTCTTTGTTTATAATTAGGTTTTAAAGATAGCTCCCTTCTATGTAAAAGTAGAATCTTCCACACTCGAAAGCAAATTGGTGGTTATCTCTGAGCTAGTCACCAGGACTCACATTTAAAGTTTGGTTTCTAAGCCCTTGAATAGCTGTTGACCCCTTTGCTTTTGAGTTTCATTCACCAGCTAAAAGGCCACGCTTCAGGGTGGGGGAAGTGAAATTCAAAATTTAGTGGGCTTGGAATACGCATATTTATAATCAGCTTGAGGGCTCAGAGGATTTGTGAAATCGTTTTGGATTAACAGCCATTGATTGCTAATCAAACAATATTTAGCTTTGTGCAGAGAACAGCAATGGAGAAAGGTGTGGGCACCTTGTCAACAGGGCCCATTGAGCAGGGATGATGGGCTAAGTGTGGGGGTCTGTGGCAGCGTGGGTGCTCGTCCTTCAAGGAGCGGTTGTCATTTGGTAGCGAGGCTAGTGAAGGGAAGGACGCCAGCTCTGATGGCGGGGGTGGTATTGATGTGCCTTAGCGGACTAATCAGATTGAAAAAGTCCCATGGTATTTATGTCACTTTAATTTTCATCAAATAATTGGAGACGACAGCACTCTATTACTGAGAGGTTGATCCAGAACTAAAGCCAAATAAATTAGGGTCTCAGTTTAATCAAATTATCCCTTTACTGGCCCTGGATTTAAAGGGAGAGACAGCGTCAGTCCGGAGACTTGCGATTGGCTGAATCTTTTCCCTTTTTTAAAAAAGAAGCTGATGAAAGAAAAAGCATTTTAACAGAGACAACTATAATAATCCTTCCAAACAATAGTACCAAAAACATTTTTAAGGAATTTATTTCAGAGTCTACTATTTAATTTTATTATAAATAATAAATCTCATTAAATTCAGGGTTCTGGTGAATTCTAGCAAAGGGAAGAAATAGGAGTGGGAAAAAAAAAACTTTGATTTTAGAATTTTTCTAAGAAGTTTTGGGTTGTTTTTGCTGGTACATATAAAATCTCAATTTGGAGAATGGTCCTGAGAAGAATCCCTTTCCTCTGATAAGAGATGCTAAGTATTAAAATGCGTTTGTTGTACGCTGTTTTAAAAAGCAACAGCATTGTGTAAGGCAGGTTGGTGAGTCAGATATTTAGGACTGCTTAGGAAAAGTATGT